TCTTCTTGCAATTGGAATTTCATATACTAAATTCAAAGTAAAAAGTTAATATAATTACTGCGACTTTCTTATGAAAGATATATTAAGTCTTACTTGATCGATTTCTTTTATTATAGGTTCATGTAATGATGTAGATATTAAATCTGCACTATGTTCTTCTATTCTTGTCATCATCTCGTTCCTAATATTGGTTGCTAAATCTAATATCCTTTTATGGTATGCTAACCATAAAGTGATTTCAAATCATTATCCGCTTGTTGAAATTGTATTGGTCATTGTGGCATTGAATTATATGATTTATCTACATTTTATTTATTAAATTTATTAAATTACAAATATTAAAACTGTTTGTCTATAACTTATGAATATTCATTTATATAACATATATCCATAAAAGAAACTGAAGTAGCATAATAAATTGGTTACTTTTACAAATTGATGAAGAAATAATGAAAGGTAAAATAACATTACCATTTCTGCAAGCGGGTGAAGAATCATTATTTCTATGAACTTCAGGAACAGAAGAAATATTATTTCTGTAAACCAGTGAAAAGGCATTTTCATGAACAGGTGAAGAGACGTCTTCGTGAAATGGTGAAAAGGCATCTTCATGAACTGGCGAGAAAATTGGGGGAGGTGAAATGTCATTATCACTTTCATTATCTGACAACAATGTAATATCATTACTTTCATGATCCATTAAAAGAGCATTGTCATTGTCTTTGTGTCTTTGATTAATAGATTTGATTTGAGATAATGATTCATCAGACAATTGCTTTTATAGGTATACTATTAGTATCTAACATTTTTATTAGCACATTGTTTTGAAAAATTAAACCTACATTAGAGCTTGTAATATTATTATTTGATTGTCTTTGATTATATTTTCGTGTCTTCTTTGGAGTAGAAGAACTTGTAACTTGATTGTTTTGTTTGCATTTTTGTGTTCTTTTGAAAGCTGAATTTACAATTTCATTATCTAGAGAATCCACAAGCAAGATAATAAATAGTAAGATAATTAATTAGATAATATAAGGAAAAATAATATTTTTACATTACATACTCGATCGCTTTTCAACTGTTTTTTCTTTTTGTGCTTTTAGTTTTATAAAAAAAATATATATATTAGGAACATTGGTAATAACTTTTAAAGAGCTTTCTAATGTACCAAATTTTCTTTTAGGCATGTTGGCAAAAAGCTAAATAATATAAAGCCAGTTATTTTTTTGTGTCCTCTTTCTTTCTCTCCTCTTGTTGACAATTTTAATCTTTGATCCAGTTTTTAATTCTTTTTTTTTATTGACCAAGTAAAAGATTGTGATTGAACCCATTTATTTGTTATGCAACTATTATTACATAATATATTATTCATTGTCAAATAAACCATATATTATTTTAGCACTGTATGTCATTTATATGATCATAGCCTGATTCGGTCAATAATTTATTTTATTACTAAATATATATATATTACTACGATGAATCTTATTTTTCCGACCACCATTTTACTGATAATTAAGGTTGGCCTGATTTATAGTTAGGGATGGCCTGGTTTAAAGTTGGCATTGGTTAGAATTAAAAGTCGTCAGTGAAATGGGTAGTACTCCTCCAAACCAAATCAAATTTTAAATTTGAATCAATTATTTGAATCAATTATTTGATTAAATTTTTAATTAATTTGATTAAATAACTGATTCAAATTCAAAATTTATTTAGTACTAGAAATGGGATGAATCCATATTACCATTGCTTTAAATACGAGTTATTTATTTGACTGATATAAATAATAAATAAATGAAAAAACAGAATTAGATCAATCAAACAATTTATTTTTCTTCTTTGTAGCACTACTGCTAGTATTTGATTAATAAGTGAAAGATATTTTATAAAAAGTAGGGTTATAAACTAATGATAAAACATTCAAACAGAACCACTCGTGCATACGTATTAGTATCAAAGTTACATATTAAATCAAAAAAAACAAAATATGAAGATATTGAAGAAACTTCAGTATCTGATGAATCTGCAGAAAATAGTAATGCAGAAAGCATTGGTTTGCACTCTGAAGTATATACTCTAAATAACCTAAACCGAATTCGGAAAAATGTATTGTTTTTTTCATGAAATACTAATATACAAATCATTTTAATAAGGTTGAAACAACAATTGATAATGAGAATGTCAATAATTGCCAGCCCTCATATAAACCTTTAGTCGATACCATGGAAGTTCCAATTGATTATAGTGTAAATCCAACATATGATATTATAGGCAATGAGCAATTACTCGACATCGCAAATATTCTGGAAGATAATGAAGAATCTGGTGTTACAGAATTTTCAATAAGTGATGTGTTAGAAGATAGTGATGAATCAAACTTTACAGAAGTTTCAGATACTGACGTATTGGAAGATATATCTTCTAATTTTGAAGGCTTTGATAGTGATTATGGTTCATACTTTCCAAATTTCACATCGGCTGGGATCTTTAGTTGGGTTACTAAAAATATGATCTGTAAGTAATGTTAATTGGCTGTGGTTAAAAAATCGAATTGTAACCTTTGAATGTTATTCGAACATTCCACTTGAAGAATCATGTGATTTCGCAGGCAATGTCTGCAAAATCACATTATATTCTCGAGTGGCATGTTTGAAGTGTTCGAAGGATACGTTTTACTTTATTTCAATTTATAGTAACGTGAAGTAATTTACTGAACATGTACATAATGCATGCCAATTTCTTATAGTAACCTCCGCATATAAAGATCTTGTAAAGATTCTTAAGCACCCTAAATTTAAAAAAGAAGATGTTTTTATAAACATTCAAGATTCGGAAATGGAGAAATAGGCTACCTTTAGTTAAAGTACTCCAATATAATGTACCTCTTTGTATGAAACGAACACCATCTACTTACAAATCTATGAAAAAGGCATTTATTATTTCTCTGTTATCGCATCTAGAACATATTTTAAACAATCTATTGCTTATGTCAAAAATGTATTTTGGTCCTGGAGTTGTTACAAATGAAAAGTGGAAATTTTGGCATGGTGAATTATGGCAAGATTTACTATTATTTGGTGAAGACCAAATTAAAAATAACAAAGGTTAATAATTTATAAAATTTAATTTTGTATATTTATTTATTTATTTAATTAATTTCTTATTTTAGTTTTTTTAAATATTCAACTAATTGTTGATAAATTATAAATTTTAATTTTAATTATTTATTAGTTTATTTATTTATTTGTTTGTTTTTTGCTATTTCTTAATTTTAATTTATTTATTTATTATTCATTATTATTATTTTTAATTTTTAATTTTTAAACAATAAATCAAAATAACTGCTTTTTTGTTAGAATTCTATAGAGCCAGCAATTTTTTAATATATCATGAACAATCATCAATATCTATTTGTCATATGCATGGAGTAGTGGTTGATGAAACGGATAACAACTCACTAAAGTTGAAAGTTGATTACATCATTTCACATAAAGACCTTCCTAACATCTGTCTCACTGATAATCGCCATATTCGTGGCAATGGAAAGGAATTATGGCTAATCGAGGGAGAAATGAATTTAGTTAATCCAGCAAATATAGAATGACATGTTAATGTTTGGTTATGTGATATGTTGGAGCCTTTAGAATATGAATTTTTTATTAAAGAAATCGTATATCATTTTGATGATAGATGGAAATACCGTGAAATAAAAATGAGACATCGTCTACCTTGTGAAAATTTTATACTGATGCCATCACCATACAATTTACCTACTTTAAAGATTTTTCTCGACATTTATGTTGATGATTTTGGCATTTATCGAAATGTATACCATTTACTAGAAGGAGTTTATTTGCAGTTTGGCAATATGACGTTGGACTTCTGGAAGCAATTAAAAAACTATTTTTTAATTAGTTTTGTTCCATTTGAAGCAAATTTTAATGATTTCATTAAACCAGTATTTCAAGAAATAAACCGATTAGAAAACAGTCTTGCGATGACGACTTTATTGGGTAATACATGGGTTGTAGGTCAGTATTATTTCATTCAAAAATTCATTACTATATGGCTACTAGATAACATTATTTCAAAATTGTATCCTCTAAAATATTATTTTGTTCAAAATAAGCTCATGTGTATTCCAAAATGGGTTCTGATTAATTCACCAACAGTCATTTCACCAAAAGCTCATTTAGCCGACATCACATAGGGTTAGGGTTAAGCATTTACTAGTTGCAGGTATTATATTTTTACAAAATTTCACCTAGTGTGATGTCAGCTAAATAAGCTGTTGGTAAAGTGATTGTTGGCGAATCCTTCCAAAATAACACATGTTCTGTAGAAAACGTTAACACATTTATATATATCAGATTCGCATTTTATTTTGAAATAACATATTAGGTGTCTCGAAATAATGATATAGTTGCTGTCAAACTATTTGGGATAGTGATAATTAATGTTATATAATTTTAGCAAAGAGTCAATATAACATTAATTATCCATAATTTGAGTCATTTTAAACAGCTTGAACAGCAACTATTTGTGCAGAGATGGTATTTCACAATTGCAAGACCAGATTGTGTAGCAGGTTATGACTAATTAATAACATCGATTCATGCTAAATAGATTTTAATGTTGAGGTTAGGGTTAGAAAGAAATTTAGGCAAAACTTGCACCAAACTTATATGTAAAATTATTTTCTTAGAGCACCAATAGCAGTTTTATAAGCAAATTATGTAGAAAATTTTTTTTAATTTTGTTACACATTTCAGATGTGCATAACGATAATGATTATACAGTATTCAGATCATTAAGTGTTTAATATTTTAATAACTATAGGTGGGATTGGATTCATTACTGCTGATCTGCCACAAGGAAACGACTTGGCAGATGTAAAACGGCATGGTGCTAATCATGGTTGCCGGACTTGCAATATGTCGAATAATAAATATAACGATCCAAATTATAATTACATACAAAATGCTTGCTTTCACCAACAGATGGAAGAATGGATCGCAGAGATTGAAAGCCAACATTCAAAGGCAGATATGAAACAACTAGCAGTTGAGTATGGATTGGCAAAGCCTGGACCTTTAAGAATACTTAAGTGGGACCGGCATGTCCAAACTCCACAAGATATATATCATTTCATGGCCAGAAAAACTCATACCCTTTTAGAGGCAACGTTTAATTCGTTTAATCTAAACAGTGAAAATGCTTTTTTAAAACATTGGAGAGATATAGAAAAACCAGCCAATTGGTGTCGAATGCCCAATCCACTATGACTTCATCAAAGTTTCATGTTTTCTGATGTGTTAAGGCTTGCAATGTTAATGCCATTTATACTTCGACGATTTTTAAAGCCTCAACATATCAAGACAGAAACTTTGAATAATTGGCATACAAGACAAAGTTCAGCTGCGTCTAAATTATGTGTTTGTTGGACAATTGAAGCAAAAGTGCTAAAGCTTGCATTTTCACTTACAATGACAGAAAGTCATTACAAAGAATTACAAGAAACGCTTGAAAATGAACGTGAAATGTTAATACAGGCAAGTAATTAATTTCAAACCATTAAACAAAAATTTAGCAACATGTGATTGTTATAGCCTGAGTTAAAGATAAAAAGATATAGTCTATATGTAAATTTCTTCTTTTTTTTTTTTTTTTTTGTTAAAGGACAGTTTTATAGGCCAAATTAAGTTATTAAGTAGATTATTGATCAATAATCACATGGTCACCAAAATTTTTGTTTAACTTTTATATTCTCAATATTCAAGACATTTTAACTGTTCAGCATCCAAGAATGCCTAAGCATGTTGATATTAATTCTTCGGGCTATAATATATATTATACTACTATGTGATGTACCTTTATGCTATTCATTGGTTTTTTAAAAAAATTTACTGACCGGGATGATACCTTAATTCTATGTATTAAAGATTAGAACCGTTTAGTCACTTAACAATTATTTAATAATGCCGGGTCAAAGTATATTGGTCATAAGCCAGAATAATTTTACTGCTGGCTGAATTAAATGATTAATACAGTTAATCATTAATTTATTAAATCAAATTATTTTGAATAATGTTTTTTTTTGGTACAATGTTCAAAACCTTTATCCAAAAATGTCTATTGACAGTAATTAAATTACTAATGTATGATTTTGTTTAAACTAATTGGATATATATATATATATTGTTTTTAGTTATTTCCAAATAGCTTTACGAACCTACTAAATTTGCATGTAAATGTTTACCTTTTACAGCATGCATGGAATTTTGCGACACTTGTAAACACTGCTGTTAGCATAAAGGAGATGGTATATCAAACATTTAAGAATATGATTCTGCACATAAATTGTAAAGCGATTGAACTTGACCTTACCTGACGATACAACACATTGCAGGTGTTACAACATCTTATCGATGGCTGGATAGATTCTCGTTTTAGCACAAGAACCAATGCAATAAATAATCTTGCTATAGACCCAAATATTTATACAATGCTATCTAGTTGGTATGCTACTGCTACGAAAAGTTTGCCCACATTTACAAGTAATTAAAATGTTGAAAATGAAAGTAAAGGTGTGTGTAATTTTTATTTAATTATATTTTATTTTTTTTTTAGTTTATTTTTTGGTTTAATGAATTATATATTTTTAAATTATATTCTTATTTTTTTTTTTTTGTTATTTATTAATTTATTTATTTTTGGAATTAATATATTAATTTAATTTTTTTTTTTTTTTTACAGATATTGTAGTATGTTATGATAAAAACTTTATTGACATATCACTTAATAATAAATGGAATAACAATAAAGTTAAAAATGCTGGTCTATCCAAAAATTTAGATGTTAAGCACCCATTCTTTCGGGATTTTCATAGAGCATATGCTGATTATTTAAATTCAAAAGTTGCAATACTTTATAAAAATATAGAATTTTATAATTTGATTACTTACACCATTCTTGAAAATAATCAAGATCCTTTTTAGTTAAAATTTAATGTTGGTGATATTGTGGAACTATTAGAAGAGATTGAGGGTACTGCATATGCCAAAATTAATTCAATTTTCTGACATTAAGCCAACAATGGTCAATACCATGCATTTTTTTTGTTTAATTGGTTTCAGGCAAAGAATTACATTGGTATCGAACTTTTCTGATTAATTTTGTTGATCATGCACCATGCGTGCATTTCATACACAATTATACAAATACATGCACGATTAAGCATAATAAAACTAATCGAAGTTATATTTTAAATAACTTTTATTATAATGCAGTATAAAATCTGCACAAATATGTACAAATTCTGCCGAATAAAATGTATCAAGTAATAATTTCAGCTAAAATTATCGTTATTTTTTTTTTAGTTACTGTCAAATCATTATCGTCAACAAAATTTCGCTCTGAAAAAACATTTTGCTATTAGGTTAGGACTAGGATATTGCAAGTAGGTTGGGTTTAAAGGGTTATAAATTGTGCAAAGAAAACCTTTTGTTAATACGCAGAAGGCAGTTTCATAGACAAAATTTAGAGCTATAGATGATTTTTGAATTGATTTAGTTTCTTGAACTTTTTCGTGTTATGGCCAGCAAAATTTTTTAGACTGGAAATTATATGTAACAACACAGCATGCATGCAACTTAATGCACAACAAAAATGGCTAGCATTACTAAAGCAAAGAAACTCTAATATATAATAAATAGCTAATTTATTTTATTCACTAAGACATTTTTTGATAATTTATATGTCTTTTTTGAGGTCATCCTTTTTTTGCATGCTTTAATTGAGTATGGATCAGTATTTTCATTTACTAAATGAAAGAGATAAGACATCAGCTTACCCATGGATTGAGATTCAGACTTCTCAACCCCTTTTTAAAATGTTCGATTCCACTAAAAAGCTGTTGATTGTTTTTAATATTATTTAGAATACGATTAAAAAGGTTTCAACTGATATTATACAACTATTCATATCATCTTTATAGTGGCTAATAATAAAAAGCATAAAAATACAATTAATAAAATTCCATTTTATAAGACTCATATTTTTTTACGAACCTATTTCGAGAGCCATTAATAATTATTTTGGTAATTAATGTTAATTCATTGTTATTAGGCAAATTTAAATTTTGATAATGTATTTCATTATAGTTTACAAGTTGATATTCATAATTTAATAGAAGCATCTGTCGAAGTGGAACAGGTAAAGTTTGCTCACTTGTGCAATTTTGCATCGTTATGAAAAGTATTTCTTTTTTTTTGCAAATAAATTTTTTATTTATTTATCGTTATTATCAACCGCAAAGCTCATTACAAATCATAATTATCAATTATCATTTCAATTTGCAGCATTGTTAAAAGTTTAACGACTGTTATAGATGATGATAGAATTCAAAAATGGAAATTTTAACAATGAAAATGATTAGTAATCATTATTATAATTTCCATTTTTGAATTCTACAGTTTAAGTAGAATCTCGATAACTATAAATTATACATATACATGTGATCAGCCAATTATTGAGATTGGTGATCATATATAATCATTCTTTTCCTTCATACTTTCCTTTATTTTTCTTTCATACTTGTCTTTTTTTTCTTTCTCTTCTTTTTCTTTAGCCCTTTTCTTTTTCTTTCATCTTGTTCTTTTTCTTTCGCCTTTTCTTTTTCTTTAGCTTTTTTTTTTTCTTTCATTCTGTTCTTTTTTTTTCGCCTTTTCTTTTTCTTTTACCCTTTCTTTTTCTTTCGCTCTTTCTTTTTCTTTCGCCCTTTCTTTTTCTTTCACCCTTTCTTTTTCTTTCGCCCTTCCTTTTTCTTTCATCTTTTTCTTTTTCTTTTTCTTTTTTTTTTTTTATACCTTTTTTTTTGCTTTTGTTCTTTTTCTCTTCCACACTTTTTTTTTTCTTTAGCCTTTTTTCTCTTTATTTTCTTTTTCTTTCATCCTATTTTGCCTTTTTCTATTTCGCTATTTTGTTGTTTTCTGTTTTGTCATCTTATTTATTAAAACTTATTTTCTCACCTTTGTTTATAAGTGTAATTTCAGAACCATAGCTTTTAGTGTCATCATCATTGGAGTCGTCGTCTTTGGTGTTGAAGCTTTTGTCGTTGGAGTCTTTGTTATTGGTACTTCTTGGTTTTAGTCATTGCCATCATTGTTGCTATGCTTGCAGATATATAAGTTATGTTGTTATTTATTTTTTTCATTGAATTTTTTTCTTTTTAATTGGTACTAACTTTATATTTCTTTTTTTTCTCAAGTAATAGTTGCTGGCATGCTTTCTTCGTCGTTCAGTTCGGTGCCTATGCCTTTCGTCGTTGGTGTCATCGAATTCGGTAGTGGCTCTTATTTCATCATTGGTATTGTCGAATTCTCTAGTTATTATTTTGTCACTGGTGTCATCGAATTCAGTGGTTATTATTTCGTCGCTGGTGTTGTCAAATTCGGTAGTTATTATTTCATCACTGGTGTCGTCGAATTTAGTGGTGGCTCTTATTTCGTCGTTGGTGTCGTCAAATTCAGTGCTTATGCATTTTGTCGTTGGTGTTATCGAGTTTGGTGGTTGTTATTTCATCATTGGTGTCGTCGAATTCAGTATTTATTATTTCATCGCTGGTGTCGTCAAGTTTGGTGGTTATTATTTCGTCGCTGGTGTCATCGAATTCAGTGGTTATTATTTCATCGCTGGTGTCATCGAATTCGGTAGTGGCTCTAATTTCATCACTGGTATCGTTAGTTTGGTGGTTATTATTTCGTTGCTGGTGTCGTCGAATTCGGTAGTGGCTCTTATTTCGTTGCTGGTGTCATCAAATTCAGTGGTTATTATTTCGTCGCTGGTGTCGTTGAATTCGGTGGTTATTATTTCGTCACTGGTGTCGTCGAATTCAGTGGTTATTATTTCATCGCTAGTGTCGTCAAATTCAGTAGTTATTATTTTGTCGCTGGTGTCGTCGAATTTGGTGGTGGCTCTTATTTTGTCACTGGTGTCATCGAATTCGGTAATTATTATTTCGTGCTGGTGTCGTTGAATTAGGTAGTTATTATTTCGTCACTGGTGTTGTTAGTTTGGTGGTTATTATTTCGTCACTGGTGTCATTGAATTAGGTGGTGGCTCTTATTTCATCACTGGTGTCGTCGAATTCAGTGGTTATTATTTTGTCGCTAGTGTCGTTGAATTAGGTGGTTATTATTTCATAGCTGATGTCATCGAATTAGGTGGTTATTATTTCGTCATTGGTGTCGTTGAATTAGGTGGTTATTATTTTGTTGCTGGTGTCATCGAGTTCGGTAGTTATTATTTCGTCATTGGTGTCGTCGAGTTCGGTAGTGGCTCTTATTTCGGCACTGGTGTCGTCGAGTTTGGTGGTGGCTCTTATTTCATCGTTGGTGTCATCGAATTCAGTGGTTATTATTTCATCACTGGTATCGTCAAATTAGGTGGTTATTATTTCGTTGCTGATGTCATTGAATTCGTGGTTATTATTTCGTCATTGGTGTCGTTGAATTCGGTGGTAGCTCTTATTTCGGCACTGGTGCCATCAGTTTGGTGGTGATTATTTCGTTGCTAGTGTCATCGAATTCGGTAGTGGCTCTTATTTTGTCGCTGGTGTCGTCGAATTCGGTGGTTATTATTTCGTCATTGGTATCATCGAATTCAGTGGTTATTATTTTGTCGCTGGTGTCATCGAATTTGGTAATTCTTATTTTGTCTTGGTGCTGTCGAATTCAGTAGTTCTATTTTGTTGTTGGTGCCATCAAATTTAGTAGTTTTATTTTGTTATAATTTAGGCCTATTTGTATTATTGGATTGTGTTAAATTTTAGTTTAAGATTAGTGTTAAAATAGAATTTAATTTATATATGTATAATATATTATTACTATATAATTATAATAAAATTAAAATAAATATGTATTTTAAATATATATATATATAATAGTTTTTTTATATTAAATTTATATATTTAATATATATTTAATATATAATTATAATAAAATTAAAATAAATATTTTAAATATATATATATAATATATTTTTTATATTAAATATATATATTTAATATATAATGATAATAAAATTAAAATAAATATCTTAAATATATATATATAATATGTATTTTATATTAAATTTATATATTTAATATATATTTAATATATTTTTATTATAAAATTATAATAAATTAATATAAATATATTAAAAATATAATTAATATATTTTTAATATAAAGTTATAATAAAATTAATATACATATTAAAAATATATCTATTATATTTTTTTTATATTTATATTAACTTTATTATAACTTTATATTAAAAATATATTAATTATATATTAATTATATAATTAAAAAATATATTTATCATATAATCAATATAAAGTTACATTGAAGTTACTATAAATATATTAAAAATATTTTTATTATATATTTATTATATTTTTTATTTTTACAAGTTTCTGCAAAGTACATTCTTTTGAATAGATTTGAATAAATACACAATTGAATTAAGAAGTGTATTATTCATTATTGAATACTCATTAATAATTAAGGCTTTGACAGTTTCAGGCCAATTCTGATACATCTTATCTCTAACATTTCATTTTAGAGTTTTCTCAGTTATTCTTTTACCAAGTTTAAATATAGAGTAGATAGTTCACCCAGATTTGCTAGTTGATTTTAATTCGAGTACAGCTCTACCTGTAGATGCAGTAACTTCGATTTTGACCCTATGAATAAGATAATAATGAGCCATTATGAACTTGAAAACATGTGTTTTTTCAGTGCCAGCATCACCAGTTATGAAGAGATTTTTCTTTAGTACCAAGGCAATATCGATTACCTAAATCTGCAAAAATAATATTTTATTTAATTTGACTGTTGCATTTTCAACTATCATAAAATTAATAACAAGATATTCAATATTAGAATATGATTCATTTTTTTTTAAATATTAACGGTGAGGCCATGCCTTTAACTTTATTGAAATTTAATTGAAGTTTTTACAAAGAAAAGCTTGTTTTTAAATTACATATGAAGAATAAAGACTCAGACATATAATCTGCAACCTAAACCTAAGAATATGATTTAATAATAAGATTAATAGCTTTATTTATCTAATAACCTTTCAACAAATCTTATTCACTTTGTGAAAGTTCAGAAAATATATGATTGTTTATTGTTTGATTTTCTTTATTCTTTTATTTACATTTTTGACAATATCTTCAATTTTAAGTTCTTCAAATTTTCATTTGCTAAGTCTTTTATCACTCATTATTTATAATGATTTTAGTATCATTTAAAGCAATAAAATTCTTATGAATTATATTTATTAATTTTAAATAGTAACAGAAATAAATATTGATATATAAAGGATTATTATTTTTTTTGCAAAAATCTGAAATATTAGAAAAATACCAAAATTCAAAAACTTAACACCATGTTACAATATGTTACATAATCATATTTTTGATTAATAATCAAAAATCTTATAGGAGTATAAAAAAAACTTTTAAATAAAATTGAATAAGTAAAAGATTTGCAATATGCAAAGTTATAACAAAGAACTTTTATAAAAAAGACTTTTTTATTTAGTATATTATTGAAGAATAGATATTTATTAAAAAATATTTATTTAGAAAATAAATAAAAAATAAAAATATCATATAAAAGTAAAGTAGAAAAATATTATTTATCACATACAAATGTATCACATATTAATTATTAATAATGGGTATTTTATTTTTAAAACTTTCTATAAACAGATTGATTTTTCTAGTAGAATAACTCTTATCTTTTATATCATAGAAATTTTTAAAACCATATTTAGCATTATCTTTTCTTATCTCATTGGCTAAATCATAATCAACTTTGAAATCCTTCATAATTAAAAATGTACTAATCTCTGGAATAAAGACTTCATTTATCAAATCATATTTGTCTCAATCATATTCTATAGAGTTAATATAATAATTTAAAATATGGTTGAAAATTATCTCATATCCTTGATATCCATAATATTTGGGAAAGAAATTATAAAACCTATTATAAACAAAAAAAAGATTTTTTCATTTTACTCTTTCTATTTTTTGAAGCTCTTTAAAAAAAGCATTCTCTTTAAAGTTTTTTACTAACTTATTTATCATTTTAAAAATAGTTTGGTTTTAAATCATTTTTTGAATCTTTTTAAATTTTCTTGTATCTTATTTTTTAATTTGATACTCTTTGTTCTTATGAGAAAAAATATAATCATTAATAGTTGGAGATTCTTCTAAATTATTTGTAATTAATGTTATTTTTTCTTTTTAGAAATATTTGCTAAAAGTGTTTTAACACTTAGTAACTCTTTTTCATTACTAGAAATAACAATTATTTCTTGTTTAATTGGGTTTTCAATTTTTTTTTGTGATTTAAAATTATTAAGAGAGTTTAATACATAATTTTCACTTAGAAGATTGCTATCAGAATTTGATATAAATGATATTTTTTTTTAATTGAAATTACAAATATAGACTGCATTTAAATAAAGAATTTGATTATATATTTATTTATTTGTTTATTTATTATATAGTTATTTATAGTATTATATTTATTGGTTTATTAAATGTAGGATTATTGCTAATCTAGCAAGCCAATAATGCAAAATCAAGAGTTCTTATCACAGCTTCCTCCCTGCTCCCACTCTGGGCCCACCTGCAACAACAATCTGCTAAAGCAGCTGCTTGTAATTGCATGCTTCACACACCAAAATTATTTTATTATTTTATAGATTTCTATTATATTGTTTGGCTTTGATTACAATATACAAGCAGTCTATATCTCCTTCATAACCATGACTTTTATCAATACAATATTTAATAACTTTATCAAATAAAGAATTAATTCTAGGATTTAAATACATCTCTTCAATATATTTAACTGCCTCATCACTAGTACTATCTTCAATTGCATCATAGTAAACTTCTATATTATTCTTAATGATTTTACTCTTTATATAATAAACCTGCTTTGGTTTATCCTCTTGTTCATAAATAAACATTTTTTGTTTACTAAGATTAGTCTTAATTGTTTCTTGTTTATAGTAGTTAATAGATTTTTGAGTATATTCTTTGTTTATTTTTTTAGTAAATTCTCTAACAATATTTATTAAATTCAAGTTAAATATCTTGCTGATTACTTTTTTATCTCTTACTTCATGCTATTCAAGAGCATGTTTGAGAATGAAAGAATATCCAGAACTCGATTTCCATCTATCATGATCATAAAATCTGTATATTCATAAATATCACCAAAGATTTGAAATTCTTCTGTTTTCTTATATTGTTTTTTAAAATATTCAAGTTTTTCATAAAATTCAATATTTTTATCTCTAATAAGGATAACTGTATGTCCTACTTTGTCATTAATATCAAGATTACATTCATAATAATAATGTCCAGTTCCATCACATTTTTTGTTGATTTTGGGTTCAGTAATTTGATCAGGTTTAATATAGTTTTGTTCGTTTAAATTAAACTAAACAAAAATATTAATAATAGTTTTGGCTTTAGTTGCTTTAGCTATTTTGTTTTAAGTTTAATGTTATGATTCAGGTCTTTTATATTGAAACTGATAATTTTTTTTTTTTTTTATTATAAGCAGTTACGCTAGTGCTTTATTAAGATTTTTGAAACTACTATTATAATTACATAAATTTACTTAATAACTAAGCCTAGCATCACCCGGCTACTCTAATGGCGCCTAAGTGCAACCTGCCACATTACTTTTAGCAGAAGTAAGCTGCTTGTCTAACTACTTAAAGTCTGTAATGAAAGGGTCTTCCCTCTTTCATGACAAGCTTGTTAATTGTCTTCCTAACTTCTTTTTTTATTCGCTCTTCTTTTTCTTTTGTTTTCTTCT